CACAGTGGGGGGTGGGGGGGAAGCATTATTCGTTGTCTTTCCATTACTGTAAGGCTAAAACAGCATCTGGACATGGATGGCAGGTGCCTCTAAAAATAACTTATTGATTATGTTGATGGTGGTCTATTACTGTACATCGTTCTCTGAGACTCATCTCCAGGCTCCTCGTCATCGCACGAGATTGACATTGTTCTATTTTCGTATGAGGTACTATTTGAGATACTTGACGTCAGAGTTTATATGCTTTTTAACCGCAAAAGCAAATAAAATCTTTTTCAGTTGAATTTTTCTGGAGCAAAATAGTCATTTCAGCACTTCTTACTGCCTGTCTGTCTGTCTTCCTTTTTTTCAGCACTAGATGACCATTATTGTGTCGAAGTGCTTCTCTTTACTCAAACAAGCAAACAAATAAAACATGCACGATAACATTTTCATTTTCTATGACGCGACTGCTTGTTACACCCGCCCCTCACAAATCCTGTATACTTTTCTTTTTCAGTGGATGGTTGGTGGGTGCTCTGATGTCGTTTGCTTGTTCTTTGTTATCAAACATCTATCGTCGTTACATCTTCACCTTTTATTTTGTGTACTTTACTCTCTAATATAATACTTGTAATCTTCGGTACTTGTGTGACCTATTTGTGTTGCTAGTGCCGGAACACTCTCAGAAGCGGGTACTCTGGCGTGGTTGATCCTTCTTTCCTATCAAACATCTATCGTTCTTATCTCTCCTCCTCCTCCTTTTTGTGTTTGTTTCAGTCTTGTAACACCTCGAACCTTCGGCACTTGTATGACCTATTTGTCATGCTGTTACTAAAACTAAGCTAAATTGTTTGTTACAACAGCCGCTTATTAGTTCTATTCTCTTCTCTATTTCAGATTTGATTGACACCCGCTGCTGGTTTCTCAAGACAGTTCTCTCACTTTGTGGAACGATGCCTTAGACAAAGTGGTACAGACAACAGAAGTCGCGGGACATCACAAACATCATGACGGAACAAGAACCACCGCTCAGCTTTGGGGGCATGGCCGGGGAGGCGGGTCTGGGCGTGGACCTGGCCCTGTACAACAACTACTCCACCTCCGACTTCTGGGCGGACACGGACGACAGTGACCTCCTGTCCATGCTCAACACTCTACGCCGCGGCCCGCCCGACATCGACAGCGAGCAGCAGATCTTTAGGAACAGACTCACCTACTACCTGATGGGTATCGGCGGCAGCACTGTGTGTTGTCTGGGAACGATCGCCAACGCGCTGTCCGTGGCTGTGCTGACGCGCCGCGCGATGAGGTCCAGCACTTACATGTACCTCGCGGCTCTCGCCATCTGCGACTCTCTGGTGCTTTTCTTCACCCTGCTGCTCATCCTCAAAGACACGCGCCCCCCGGACAGCCCACACCACCTGGAGCAGTTCCACGCCGTGCTGTTTCCCTTCATCCACCCGACCGCCGTGGTCTTCCAAGTGACCTCCGTGTGGCTGACCCTAGCCTTCACGGTGGACCGCTACATCATGATCTGCCACCCGTTCAAGGCGGAGCGGATGTGCCGGCGGAGTCGCGCCCGGAAGGTGGTGGTCGGCATCTACGTGGGCGGGCTCATCTTCAACATTCCCAAGTATCTGGAGTACTACACCAAGTCGGAGGACTTTCGCCTGTCCAACTCGAGCGAGGTGTACACCATCTACGGCATCGAGACCACGGAGCTGGGCAAGAACGAGATCTTCCGGGAGTTTATCCACTCGTGGATGTACCTTGTCTGCGTGTGCGGCATCCCGTTTTTCACCCTGGTCGTGCTCAACGCCTTCCTCATCCGGGCTGTGCACCTGTCGCGCTTGAAGGGCAAGGAGCTGAACGCCCGCGAGAAGCACCGCAACGACACCACCGTCATGCTCATCGGCGTCATCATCATCTTCCTCATCTGCCAGGGCCCGGCGCTCGTCTCCAGAATGATCTACGCCTTCAACCCGATCTCCACCAAAGACAAAAACATCTTCACGCTCAACGAGGTCGGGAGCTTCCTCGTCATCCTCAACTCGGCCATCAACATCGTGCCGTACTATCTGTTCGGAAGGAAGTTCCGCAGCGAGTTTTGGAGACTTTTCTGCACCTGCTTCTTCGACAAAGATGAGTTGAGACGGATAGTCCGGAGTTACAGCAACTCGATCGACCACCGGCGCATGAGCCAGTACAACGGCATGGAGATGAATGGCATGGCCGTCAACAACTGTAATATGGACAGAGACTTCAACATCCGCGGCCTCAACGGCTTGCCGCCGATCCCTGGTGAAGTCCCGGAGGGCGGGAAGGACCGGGTGTACACGTGTTACATGGACCAGAACCAACAGCGCTACGGCGCAGGGAGGGGGGTGAGTGGGGGTGGTGGGGGTGCTGCTGCTGCTGCTGCCTCTCCGTCCTCCACGTCTTTCAGCTGTATCGCGGGCGGCGGTGGCGGTGGTGGTGGTTGTAGTGGTGATAGTGGGGGTTTTGCTGTAGCGTCGTCGTCTTCGTCTTCCCTGATGAGGAAGAGCGATACGTGTGACAGCGTGGCGGTGCCGCTTATCCACAGCACCTCGGGCGTCGCGCCCACCACCAACTCCCTTCCCTCTTACTCCTCCCTCTACGCAGATGGCAGCACGGGTGCTAACCAAGAGCAGCAGCAGCAGCAGGGTCACGTGATAGGCCGTCACGTGACCACCTCCGGCAGCCGGGAGTCGCTGAGGGACCCGGCTGTGTGTCACACGTCATCAATGTCAAGGTCGTCCTCCATACAGCAGTCGTCGCCGCAGACGTCCAGGGCGGTGAGCAACGGACACGTGCAGTACATGACTGTGTCTTCAGGGCCCAATGTGAGCGAGCCTGTCTGGTCCGCTGTTTGAACTGGTGAAAAAACAGACACAACCCCGTCGACGTCTCCACTTACTTACCAACTTACTTACCCCAGGCTTGCCAGCTGCCCTTAATGTCCTGGTACTGACCCGAATGCGGTTGTCAGGAATTTGGGAGGACATTAGACTTAAATGATACACCACACCAAAACCAGCGCAATCTGGTGTGATTTTGTTCGTTGTTAAATAATCTGATGTTATGACGTTGGGTGACTCCGACTGGGTTTTGAAAGAGTTGGCAAAGCTTGTTACGTTCGCCCTTTACTGATACTGTGGAAAGATCACAAGGCAGAGAGATCTCGACGCCACGCGTGTCTGTCCGTGGTCAGTCTCCGTCGCTCGTTCGTTTGAAAGTGGCTTTAGTTGACTCAGATTCAGGAGAACCCGGCGGCTGGAATCCGTGCCTGATCTGACAATGATCACCTGTAGAATGCTGCTTATTCTGTCAATGGACTGGCGTCTGTGGTGCAGCTGCTAGCTGCTTCGCCGTCGCACGCAGAAAACCTGTATTCGTTTCCCGTGTAATGAGAATTTGATCGAGCGTCTTGGTCTTTCTGCTGGGACGTTGTATCCCTTTCAGCCCGAGTTGTCCACGATTGGCCTGACTCCTAGGCGATCTAAATTATGTCGATGGGGGCGTAAAAACATCTATATTAAAAGTCTCCACTTGGCGTCTGGAAAATCTGTTGAAGTTGACTCCATTACAAGAGATCTGGGTTTGAATACGTGGCTGATTTCAGTTGACGACGGTGGAGAGGCCCGATGTTTGAAATTGTTTTTGATTTGAGACTATCATAGTGAGCACAGATCGGCGACTCATTGGGCAGCCAGAAAATGGTGCCAGTTGACTTCAGTGTGAGCGGCCTGGGCAATATACCCACAAGCTTACCAACTGGTTATTAAACTAAGACACTGGACAATAGTGTGGGCGGTCCTAGTTCCATTCCTGAACTGATCCTGATTACCTTCGGAATGCTACTCACTCTTTCATCACGTCGCACACAGAAGACATGAGTTCGATTTCCGAATGGGGAGAATTTTTCATCGAAAGTTCTGACAGCCAAAGCAAGTTGTTTACTCCGAGTACCTGTTCAATGATATGGTATCTTGAAATCTGGCGAAACCAGTACTAAAAAGTTCTAACTGCAAAAATGTTGTTTGCTCAATGGTGAACTTTGTCAAAAACAGCTCCAGAATGTTTGAACTACAGTTTAAAAAGAAATAAAGACAAAAAGCAACGTCTTTTTATTTTGTTAAAAAGAGCCTCTCCACGCTAGACATTCGAAACGAGGAAGCGTCTGTCCTCCAAGCTACATGGCGTCATCCTACCCTGCTGTGCCCTTCGCACCAGGTTCCTTCCTGCTCACACAGAGATAGATCACTCCCTCTCGTTTGTCGTTACCGGCTGTACCCAAATGCTGTTTATGTGCGGTACACACATATTTATATTCGACTTGTCGGATTGCAGACAATCGGAATGAAGTATGCATACTTGTTCGACTCGTCGCATGCACATAGTCGAATCGAGACGTATACACTTATTCAACTCGTTGAATCTGAATGATCAAGTCGAGGCGTACACACGTTTTCGAGTCGTTGGATCCTCATAATGGGGTCGAGGCGCACACGTTGGATCTGCATAATCTGACCGAGGCGGAACGTTTGACAAATCAGCACCCGCTTGCCTGTGGAACGGACATGAGTCGAAATGAACTTTGACATATATATGTGTATATATGACATGCCATGCAACGGGTCTGAGAGGGATTCTGTACCAATAAACAGCGGTTTTGGTCAAAGTAAAAGACGCATGTAACCGAATGTGTCTACAGTTTTATTTTGCTCTTTTGTCTGAAACGATGATTGTTTGAGGTGTTTGACGAGTCTTGTTAATACAATTATTATTATTATTACTACTAATACTACTGACGCCAAAACAAACCGTACCCTTTGCTCCTTTCGGAGAAAATAAATGGACGTCAAACTCGGAGGTCCTGCCTCTTAAATAACCTAACAGTGTTGATGATAGGGGCGGTAAACCTCCCGTACCACTTCACCCAAAACCGTCCCCTCAGCTCGGTCTGACGTTGTGTCCTTGAGAAAAAAAGGAAGACACGTTTCACAAATTGTCCTTTTTCTTTTGGGCTATGTCCAAAGGGAGAATTCCCCCCAACGTAGTGTGCTCTCCTCACCCCCGGAACTTCATCAGAGTCGGCCGTCAAGTCGCTCCTGGTGCTGTATACTGTTATATCGATTGTTTGGGGATGTTGGTTTGGGTTTTTGTTTTTGTTCTGGGTTTGTTTTTTTTGGGGTGGGGTGAGGGTTGGTTGTTATTAGCTTGTTTGTTTGTTGGGGGTTTGTTTGTTTTGTTTTTTTAGGGGGGGTTGTTTGTTGTTGGGTTTGTTTTTTTTGTTGTTTTTTTTTTTGGGGGGGGGGGGGGGGTCTTTTTTACCCCATGCAAATTAGGAAACTTTCCACTCTTACCACGACTGCGAGTATGCAAATGTGGCACTTTTTGCCCGCGTGTTCGCCTCTCGTCACTGTCGAGTAACGTAATACATGCACTTCACAGTCGTGCGACGAATGGAAAGTTTCCTTGTGTGCGCGGGGCTTTAGAGAGTTGGGATATACTTTTCTGTCATAATAACATGGTTGTGAACTGGTGCTTGGGTGAGGCCACTCTTCCAGAGCAGTCTGTGCGAGAACTGTTTTGAATGCAGCGCGATTGTGACGTTATTGTCTGTGAATTGAAATTCAAATCTTGTGATCTTGACCCTTTCTTGATTGTATTTGGCGGTTTTGGGTTGTTGTTTTTTCCCCCCCTCCTTTTGTACTTAACGACATGGCCTCTGAAAGTTTGTACCAAACCCTAAAAATAAACAGTTATATAGATATAAATATATGTATGAATAGTATCCAAATCGTCTATATTGTGTGAAAATACGTGGTAAGTTCTTGGAAGGTGCCACTGGTAGGTCTTACATCTTTACTTTCCCCACTATTGTTTCTGTCTGTCCTACTGTTTCCCAGCACTACATGACAATTATTGTGTCGTTGTACTGCTCTCTACTTAACTCACACAAGCAAACAAACAAATGAAAATAACTATACAAATTTATATCGGTGTCTTCTCACAATCTTGACCATTTAGATGCGGCTTTGGCTTTGACTACTCTACCTGTCCACTACGCTACAGACGCCGGTTATGAAACATTCACAGTCACCAGATACTTTGGTTTCCCTGTTGTTTCTGTCCCTCTATCTTACTTCTCCCAGCGCTAAATGACAATTATTGTGTCAATGTCCGCTTCTCTTTACTCAAACAAACAAACCCATCTTTTTCTGATGGGATATAGTATCCCACTCAGACCGGAATTGGTCTGAATTAACCCCTTCACAGCCAAGCCCAACACTCTTGAACTGTTTGGTAGGGTTATAGAGCAGATATGGTAGTGAAAGAGTTAATAGGCGGGGTCGAAGTAGCCTGCCTCCTGAGTAATTAAAGTATGGTTAATATTAGGACAGGTAAGTACTTAGGATTATTTACAACTCAGTCAAGTTGATTTTTGTCAAGCCAATAAGATCTACTCAGACAATTTTGTCTGAAGCCGGAATGTTTTCTATTAAGTTATGGCAAAATGGACTATATAATTGTGTTATTTAGTGCTCCTCTAAGCAAGGCAATATAATATGTGTATCGTTATCGTGACCGAGTACCTTTTTTTATTATTAAGAGAACGCTGCAGTCTTTGTTTTGAAGCTCTCTTTCGTTTCTTCAGAAGAAGAATATGAAAAGCCCAACTTTTTAGTTTCACTTTAATTCTTTTCACACAAGTAGGGTAACTCTGTTCGCAAAGCGGGCGCTTTTTCGAAGAGGGCGCCACCGAATTTTGAGGACCCCTTTTTAATTGGTTTACAGAGAGGAGTGAACTATCTTGTTATACACGATCTTTGGTATAGTTAAGTACTGGCGGTCGGTACCAGACTTGAGTGTCAAGTGTGATGCGTGGTTTGACGTGTGCAAAGCCGAAACGTTCTGTGTGCAGCGGTAATGTGGAACTCTTTGGCTGGCGTCTGTTGTGTAGCCCTGGGGCGGGGGTTTTGTCGTGGGTTTGTTTTTTGTCGCCTT